ATGGTTCAATTGAAAAAAATAGTTCTTCAAGATAAAAAATTAAACTAAAAAAACTCCCCCTAAATTAGTATACTCCCTCTGAGTAGCTAAACCAAGTCACATTCAAATGATCTATCAATAAACTGAGAAAAGAAGGGTTAGTTTAGTTAAAAAACAAAGACTTTGTTCTCTGCACATGAAATAACAACATTAGCAATGACAATTTAATCAATATCAAACATACAATTTAAAAAATATAACAACTAAAAAACGTTACTGCACAAACCATAAACCATAAGAACAAAACTATATTAGTAACAACAAAAGCAAATTAAAAAAGTTCAACAAAAATAAAACATCTAGCAAGTGATCACTTCTGCTCAGAGTGATCACATCAGAAGTAACAACCAGCAAGAAAGAGGTTCAGCTTTCACTCCCCCTCTTTGTTCAAGTTTCTCAACCCTTGCGAGCACACAAAATTGAAAATATTCAAGCAACTCATCCATCAGGTGGTGATACAAATATTAGTGTGAGAATATAATTAAGGATCATTTTCACAATTCAAATCAACAAATCAGTGAGTGATGACTATCAAAACTCATGTGAGCACCTTGAAACAAGCATGTTATCACATGAATACTCAAGGTGGTGACAAAGACACAAAGGCAGCAGACTATAAACACTTAAAATTTAAAATTAAAGACAAGATGGTCATGAGATCAATCAAAATTTTCACAAGATTTAAAGAGACAAGTCATATTGATCTGATTAGAAGACACAAAAATTCATTTCTCAACTTTTGAAAGAAATACATAAAAAGTATCGCATCTAATGAAAATTCAACAACTTAAAGTAATCCCTTCTTTAAGACATCTATGAGAAACAAAAGCAAGTATTCTTTATCATATGTGTGTTTAGTGTCCTCAAGGGATGAGTATGACTCATTGGTCAATTTTGAAATAAAAGTGACTCCCCATTCCCTCATGCTGCCCCCACCGGTCTTTTATAATTGTTTTTTTTTTTTTTTTCTGAACATAATCTCAACATTTTGTACTATTTTTCATATCAATAGAGATTAATGGGCATAACACTCAAGAGGTAACCAAGTGTAGCTTTCACACTTGCTAGTAGGTAATCCTCTAAATGGTAGATTTCCAAGGATAAAAGGGTCTTTACATCCTAGAAAATTACTCAAGTATGACTTTCATACTACAAACAAGGTAACTTTTTCACATGATAACAAGAAGTATGCACTAAGCACTTAAAGATGAAAGAAAGTAATTATACTTCTTGAGTGAAAAACAAGGTGGACACATCATTCGCCACACACATTTCAAAGAGAGAAGTAATTCTTTGTGACTCAACACAAATCATATACACTTGTAATTTTGAAGAGAAAGAATTTTTTTCTCATGACATTATTAATAAAAAAAAACTCTACTCAAGTTGAGTTAGTCCAACGGACTTCCTCAAATTCATAAAAGTTGAAAAGTCTAAAACCTTTGTAAATATGTTAGCAAGTTGAGACTCTGTGTTTACTTGTGCAAGTGAAATGACCTCATCCTTAACTAAGTCATGAAGATTACCATCTCTATAGATAACATGACCATTTTCCAAGCATTCAAGCTTAGCCAATAAAGATTTGTTACTTGTCAGATGTCTAGAACAACCACTATCAATTCTAGAGGCAGGCAAAGATGTATGGGCAACAAGACAATTAGTACTAAGCTTAGGTCTCCATACTTTTCTATCTTTGAAAAAATTATTCTGGTGTGGTGACATGAGAGACTGAAGTGGTGACCTTACAAAATTAAAATAATGATTTCCAATGCATCTTTTCAAATATGAAATGAGTTTAAAGTAGTTTGGTCTGATATGACCTTTCTTTTAACAAAAATGATAGAATAGAATGAATCTTTTTATCTTCAAGGTCTAATCACCTGGGGTAGCAACAATTTTTAGAATTGATTCAAAAGCCTTGATGGAGGTGGTCACCCAGATTTGGAGGTGCTCACACCATAAGAGAATCCCAAACCCGATTTATCATCGAAGATCTTTCCTTGGCCAAGGACTTCGTCAAGCTTGTATGAACCAACATTTAACCTTTTAACAATGGCCTTGGCCTCAGTTAGTTTATTTAAAGTTTGATTCAACAAAATTTCCTTATTGGATAAATTAGATAATAAGGCTTTTAATTTATCATTCAAAATCTTCTTATTTTCTATCAAGAAAGATTTTTCAAATTCAAGAGACTTAATCATCTTGATGGCTTTTAACAAAGCCTTATATATTTTGTCAAAAGCCTCATGTTGCTCTTTATAGACATCACTTGAGTAATCTAAGGACACACTATCACTATTCTCTTGGTTAGTCATAAAGGCCAAAAGGTTTTCATTCTCAACTGACTTATCTTCCTCATTCTCTATTTCTCCATCATCACTCTCACTCAAGATATAAGCCATTGGTTTACCCTTTTTCTTTTTTAGAGTGTTCGCACACTTAAACTGGACATGGCCGTAGCTCTCACACTCAAAACACCTAATGTCTTTGTTCTTCTTTTCATTTTCTTTTGAAAATCCTTTTAAAAAGACACTTGACCAAAATGGTCACCAAAATTTTTAACACAAGATTGTTTGCCTTTTCTAGCCACATTTGGTTTTCTCATATCTTTTTCAAAAATTTTGCAAAGTTTTTTATGAGTAAGCCACATTCATCATCATCCATATCACTATCATCAACATCATCAAGGGTTTCAAAAATTACCTCATGTTTAAATGCAAGGTCATTACCTGATTTTTGCTCACCCCATCTTTTCAAATTCTGCTTATATGCTTAGAGAGATCCAATTAGTTCATCCAGCTACATCACATCGAGGTCACAACATTCTTCAATGGACATTGCCTTGGACATGAATCTCTTGGGTAAGGAGCACAACACTTTCCTGATAAGTTTAGTGTCAGAATAGATTTTACCCAAGCAAAGTACTCATTTGTTACATCACACAATTGACCATGAAAATCAGAGATTGATTAATCATCATGCATTACAAGGTTTTCATAGTCAATTATTAATCTCCTAAGCCTAGTTTTTTTCACAAGGTATTTTCCTTCATTTTTTACTTGGAGTCTATCCCATGCATCTTTTGCAGTCTCACAGTTAGCAATATTTTTCATCTAACTTATACTAACAACATTAAACAAGGCATGTAAGGCTTTTGAGTTAAAGCTAGACTCTTCTAATAGCCTTGGTCCATTGATCAATGGCTTTTCCTTTGCTCCCACCTTGCTGCTTCAAGTTTACGTTCTTTCCAACCAACAATACAAGCCATCCAAGCCCTCTTATCAATGGATTTCAAAAAGACACGCATCCTAGGTCTCCAAAAAGCATAGTTGGATCTCTCTAACAAGGGTGGTCTATTGTTAGACCCTCCTTCACTAAACAAACTCATGGTAAACAAAATAGTTAGGGTGGTCACAAAAGAACTGAGGTGGTCACCTTCAAGTTCGTAAGACAGAGGTGACAATACACACACATAGGTGGTTACAATCAAAAGTTCAACACGAGGTGGTCACACAGCTTCCAAGGTGGTCACACAAGGTCTGTAGCGAGAAAACTGCTCACAAACATGAAATAAAACAAAAATGCAACAGAAACCAAATCAAAATTTAAGCACAAATAACAAGCAAGGGTCAACTGAAATAATCTTCAAAACAAGCTCTGATACTAATTTAAAGTTTTAAAATTACCAAGTTCTTAAAACTTAAGCGGAATGGGTTGCTAAGTTGATTTTAGTGTTCATTCAGCTTTTGCAAATGATTGAGAAGAAAAAGGCTACTATTGGAAGGGATGTTTCCTTGAAGCTAGCCACAACTAAGATCGAGACCAATCCCAAGAGCAGCAATCTGTATCCTCCTTCCAAGACATTGTTTTAAGATAAGAAGGACACCTTCCATCACAATATGGTGGAGTATCCCATTGATAAATAACTGAATGTTCTGCATAATAATCCCAATAAAAGGACGAACGATTCATGAAGGATAAGAGTTGCTGAAATTGGAGCAATGCAGACTTTGAGAGCACAAATACAACAACTGAATGTATAAAATTTGATAAACCCACAATAGAAAACCCATTTTTTCTGAATGATGAAATCACGAGGACATACAAGGTTATAAATAAAAAGAAATGAAGGGTCAATTAATATTGTCTTCCTTTTCATGAATCAGTTTTGTGGTTGGGACTAATCTGTGAAACGCAGAAACCAACATAGACTGGAGAACTAACGCGGAATCTGCTAGGCCTGAACGGGAAATTGGAAACCTTACAAAACTTAATTATTTGAGCCTCCCAGCAAATAATTTTGCAAGTCAAATCCCTTCATTTCTTTCCAATTTTGATAAGCTCCATACATTGGATCTTGAGAGCAATAATTTCATCGGTGGATTTCCAGATTTTTTTGTCAATTTAACTCAACTTTCTTTTTTAAGCTTAGCAATAAATCAACTAGCTGGTCCAATCCCTTCTCAAGTAAGTCCCCATGGAAGTCTGGTTTTTATTAATTTATTTAATAACTATTTCAATGGGTCCCTACCATCTTGGCTATTCACTCTACCTTTATTGTAGTATGTGAACCTCGATTATAACCAATTAACTGGCACTATAGATGAATTTCAAATTAAATTTATTTGCATAATAATAGATTGCACGGGTCAGTTCCAGGTTCAATATTTGAACTTGTGAATCTGACTGGGCTCTCTCTTTCTTTAAACAATTCAAGTGGAACTGAGCTTTACTTGTTTTCAAAGCTCAAAAAACTTGAATATCTTTATCTTTCCAATATCAATCTATCATTGAGCACTACATTCAACATTAACTCTTCCTTTACCAAACTTGATACATTGAGTTTATCAGCTTGTAACATAAGTGAGTTTCCGGATTTCTTACGTAGCTCACACTAATTGGAGTATCTAGACCTTTCTGACAACAAAATCCACGGTCAAATTCCCAAGTGGATGTGGAACATGAGAAAGGAAAGTTTGCATTGGTTAAATCTTTCTCGCAACTTTCTTACAGGCATAGATCGACTTCCATGGAAAAATCTTGAATATCTTAACCTTCATTCCAACTTGATTCAGGGACCACTTCCAAATCCACCATCTTACTTGAGATTGTTTTCTTTGTCAAACAACAATTTCACGGGAGAGATACCTCTCAGCTTTTGCAATATGAGTGCCATAGAAATTCTAGATCTTTCTTATAATAATTTGAGTGGTAAAATTCCGAAATGCATGGCAAACCTTAGTAGTAGTCATGTGTTAGATCTACAAAAAAATAGACTGTATGGCAGCATTCCTGGAATTTTTGCATGGGGCAATCATTTCAGGACTATTAACTTCAACAGCAATGCACTTGAAGGGTCAACCCCACGAAGTTTGGTTAATTGTACCATGCTTGAAGTTCTAGATCTCAGAAACAACAAGATCATTGATAGTTTCCCGTATTGGTTGGGAGATCTTCCGAAGTTGCAGGTTCTTGTTCTTCGCTTCAACAAGTTTTATGGTTTTGAGTGGGGTTCTTCTGAATTTAATAGTTCTTTCCCTATGCTGAGGATCTTAGATCTCTCACACAACAATTTTAGTGGTTGCTTGCCAACAAGGTTCTTTGAGAATCTAAAAGCTTTGATAAATCTTGTTGAAGCCAAAAGGAACTTGAATTATATGGGTGAAACATATTATCAAGATTCAGTGGGGATGGTAGTTAAAGGTTTTGGAATCCGACTAGAGAAAATTGTTACCACTTTTACTACCATTGATTTTTCAAACAATTGTTTTCACGGAGAAATTCCAAACTCAATTGGAAAACTTCATTCACTTCGACTCCTCAATCTCTCTCAAAATAGCCTAATCGGTCATATTCCTTTGTCTTTCGAAAATTTGACTGCACTTGAAGCTTTAGACATATCTTCAAACAAGCTTGTTGGAAAGATTCCATTGCAATTGGTAGGTTTGACCTTTCTTGCAAAGTTAAACTTATCACAAAACCATCTTGTGGGATCGATTCCTAAGGGGAACCAGTTCGAGACCTTCCAAAATGACTCGTACAGTGGAAACCCAGGACTTTGTGGATTTATGTTATCGAACAAATGTGATATTGATGAGGCACCACAACCAGAATCATCAATAGCCCATGATGAAGAACACCACATTTCAACCTGGTTAGATTGGAAGTCATCATGATGGGTTATGGAAGTGGACTATCACTCGACTTATCTATAGGATATATAGTTTTCTCAACAGGAAAACCACAATGGTTTCTACAAATGATTGATGGACTTATTCGAAGATGCAATAGAAAGACTAAGCAAAAGTGATTCTCTTGACAAGGTTAGTTCGGTTAAATTATACATCCACTTTTTTCCTGCAGAACATCCATTCGATATTTGTGCAAATGTTATATATGGATCAATGTTTTTTCCTGCAGAACATCCATTTGATATTTGTGCAAATGTTATATATGGATCAATGTTTTTTTTGAAATATATATATATATCCATTTGATATTTGTGCAAATGTTATATATGGATCAATGTTTTTTTTGAAATATATATATATATCCATTTGATATTTGTGCAAATGTTATATATGGATCAATGTTTTTTTTGAAATATATATATATATCCATTTGATATTTGTGCAAATGTTATATATGGATCAATGTTTTTTTTGAAATATATATATATATCCATTTGATATTTGTGCAAATGTTATATATGGATCAATGTTTTTTTTGAAATATATATATATATCCATTTGATATTTGTGCAAATGTTATATATGGATCAATGTTTTTTTTGAAATATATATATATATCCATTTGATATTTGTGCAAATGTTATATATGGATCAATGTTTTTTTTGAAATATATATATATATCCATTTGATATTTGTGCAAATGTTATATATGGATCAATGTTTTTTTTGAAATATATATATATATCCATTTGATATTTGTGCAAATGTTATATATGGATCAATGTNTCAAGTGAGAAAGCGCGTACTCAGCAGTGTCAATGAGGTCTTCAATGTTGTGAATGGATCGCTCTTCAGACCCCAACATGAAAATGGCACGAGCCTCCGCCTTCTTCGAAAGCCTTGCTGCTAAACTCAGTTCCAGTTTGGGAGAATTGAGGCTTCGCAGTATCTCCCGATACAAGGACAGAACACGCCCACGGTTTTTTGCCATGTCTTCTGCCGTAGCCCATATCAAACCCTTCATTTCTGCGTACAAATTTTCATTTCATAGGTGAATAAAAAAAAAACATCATTGACGCATTTCATCGAACACCTCTCAATGGGCACATTAACTGTAAACACTAACATCTATTTTTCTGTAAGAAATAAGATGACCTAGAACATATATTGACCACATATAACTAAGTTATATATATAACCAACGAGTACAATCATAGAAAATTACTGTAAAAAATTGATGGAAAAGAGAGCTTTTCAGTCGCCTAATCTGACCGATTACTGGCAACTCAAGTATCGGCATAAAAGAGACTTGGAGGGGCTTACCGGCGGCGAGAAAAGACCCACAACGAGTATAATTGGAGGAAGAGTAATGCTATAGTTCAATTTTTCGTATAGCTTTAAGCACGAAAACCATGCAGACTATATGTCTGCTTTAAGGATATTGGATAAAGAAAGTTTCGGCTTTCAAGGATATTACTTTTATTCTTATTTTGGGGTTTATTTCACATATGGGTTGTTTAATATTAGCATACCTAAATATTTCGAAAATCATTAAAAAAAAAAAAAAAAAAAAAAAATCCTTCTATAATGATTAAATATCCCTTTTAAATTATTTAAAATCTTTGAAAACTTTAAATTATTCATAATTATAAAAGGGTTTTTAATAGTTTTTGAAAACTTTGAATAGACCAAGATTCAATGATCCTGCAAGGGGTGTATTGATTAGTATATAAAAATATTCAAGCAATTTCTGAGAAAAATAATAATTACTTTCCTTATACTAGTTTTTAATTATTATGTCTCTGGTATAAATTTTATACTATCATTTTTTTCCCTGTTATTTTAACATTAAATTTCTTAAAGTGTCTTCTCTTACAAAAATATCATGAGTTCGCTACTAAACCGGAAGTTACACATAGTTGAGATAAGAGATGAAATTGAAAAATAGTTATTTTTTATACTTATCTAATTAAATTAATGTGGTCCAGCAAAACAAGTCTACCTCTAAGAAAGAGAATCATTAAGAAATTAAAATAGATATATATAACTGATACAAGCATATAGCCTAAAACCTAAAACCCTTGTTCACTGACTTACACACTACATCCTCATGGGAAACTCTATTTTTCTTGACTTTAGCCCTTGACTTAAAATCAAGCTCGGCCCGACCCGAAAAGGTCGGGCTTTACCCGATGTTCGTGGGCCTGGGCTTGATTTTAAGGTCCGACCTCGGGTACGGGCCGGGCCTGGGTATGTCTTCAGACTAGACCCGGCCTGACCCAGCCCGACAATTTTAGTATTAATTATACTAAATTACCCTTATACTATATATTTAATTACAAGGGCTTGGGCCTTTGTCATGAGGTCAGGCTTGGGCTTGGGCCAAGGGGTACCCGGTCCCGGCCCGACCCATTGCCATCACTAAAATTGAACTCCTCTACCAAGTAGGAGTCAAACTCCTACTAAGAGTCCAACCACTTGGGTTCACTATATAAACAGAGGCAAATCATTTTATTAGGCATTCAGAAATCACCCGCAACACCTAAGCTCTCAAAGTTCTTGCTTTAAAGAACCGTCGCATTATTCTAGTATTCCTTCTCGTCCTTTAGCCCTCCCTAAATACCCTCAACCTCGCTAACTTGAGCATCGGAGTGTCTACAGTAGGCACCACACTGGTGTGTATTTGGCCTTCAAGTTCCTTTTTGCTCTTTGTACAAATACAACATATTGTCAATGGCTCGCTTCACACAGGATTTGTCCCTCTCAACTTGACCATAGATTTTACCTTCTATAGTACATAATAATTTTTTAATTGATTAACTAAACACGTCTTACTAGTAATTTAAGATACAAGTGACAATTACAACCCAATCTCACGATTAATCAATTACTATTGTTGAGTTACAAAGAAATCTAGGTACTATCTAATAATATATATAACATTTGAAATGCTTTGTCTCAATCAAGATTTCAAAAAAAAAAAAGTCTTATACGGCACAAATGTTTTTAAACCCTGCCCGAGCCTTAACCCAATCAAAGGGTTGGCACTCGAGTTGGGTGGCCCGATCAACGGGTCAGACTGATGACTTTAGCATGAAACCCTAGTATGAAACTTAGTAGACATACCCCTGAGAAATTACATCACTCCCTGCATGTTTGAATTCTAGCAAACACAGCCCTGTGATCTAGCTAGGAAACCCTAGCCGTCACTACTACAATCCACCCCAGATTAGCTCAATATTGGACAAACCACCATTAAGCCACCACGAAAACCCTAATCCAGCACAAAAGACCACCGTCCGCCACAACAAAACCCATTGGTGGCACGCGTAATAGGTTGGACGTGGTTGTGCTAGGCAGGATTGGTTTAGGAAATATGTCGAGCAGATGGTGGGTAGAGTGGGAGGAAAAATATGGGTGGCCGACGGTGACGGCCGGCAGTCCAAACAAACACACAAAAAACAAAACTCCAATCCAAACTCCCAACAATCAAACAAAACGAAACAACAATCTCCCTACAATCAAACAAAACCAAAAAAACTCCCAATAATCAAGAACATGTTTGCGATTGCGAGTGGGTGGGTGTGGTGGCCCGATCAATTGAGAAGGTTGTAAGGGTGTTGTTGGTGGTGCGTGGGATTGCCGAGGTGGTGGGGTATGGGCGTGTTTGTAGGTGGCGGAATGGCTGAGGTGTGGCGGGTCACAATCGCAAGGCGTGTGACGCAAAGAAGAAACACGGGGCGTCTCTTTCAAGCAACAATGTAGAGGCGGTTCTCTGACCTAGTGGTTGAACTGACGGTTCAGCATTGTTCCGCCGGTTCAATCACAGGTCAATCCGGGGCAATGACTGAAACTGGGCTTAGAGTGTCCTTGGATCGGAGAAGGGGCCAATTCTTGGTCAGCCAGTCGAACCAACCGATATGGTCCGAATTTTAAAACAATGACCGGCATAAACAATAATGAAATGGTTGATTTCTTGCTTTAAAAACTCCCAAGAAACGTAGGTCCTATCTAATAATATATTTTACACGTTATCTATTTTAATTTATTTTATGTACTCTTCATGGCCAGGCATTTGATTGCATATAGCGCGTGACTATTTCCTGAGATAAAATCAAAGCTGTCCTTTTTACGACTTGCATAATGAGCTGATGTTGTCCTGTTGTAAACACATACACAGCTATTTTATTTTATGACCGAGTAAGCAATTTTGGGTTATAGTTTTTAAATTATTGTGCTTCTAGAAAGTTATATATGTTAAACGTAAAACAATTAAAACAAATAAATTATTAATATTAAACTTAAAAATTTAAAACGGGTCAGTCACATGTATGTAGAGCCTCTGATATTGGATTCTCTCCCCTTTCCTATCTTTAATTTTCCAGAACTTTTGTTTTTCTGATTGATGGAGAAAACAAGTTCTGACTTTCTTTAATAGGCAAAGTGAGGATAAAGTTTCTAAGAAATAAACTTTCCACAAATATACATTTCATCGTGTGTAACTATTAAAATAATAATTATATAATATTCAATTTATTTTTAAACCACAATAATGTTATTTTTATATTAATGAACCACGTATAATTTTATCTTACACCTAGCCAAGCTGACCTTATCCCTTTAGGATGAAAATAAAAATAACAGCAGTTATATTATATTGATTTATTTTTTAAATTGAAGAATATCTTATAAAGTAAGGATGGATATTAGTTATATTATATTGGTTTATTTTTTAAATTTAAGAATATATTATAAAGTAAGGATGAATTTTACTTTTACCGTTATATTATATTATATTATATTGATTTATTGTTGAAATTGAAGACATATCTTATAAAATAAGGATGGATTTTAGTGATAAAACTAAGTTATATGCTACAGCTACACTGACCATCTCGTTCTTGTTCCACCATCAACTTGTTTTTGACAACGGAAATTCTACATTTAGTAATAAAAATAAGAAAGTAGACCTCATTTTAGACGCGATAGATAGGCATATGTTTACATTATATATTAAAATAATCGTACATATTAAAATTTGATGACCGTCTCAACTCTCAACTCCGCAAGTGGTTTTAAGTTGGAAATGGTACAGTGCATTAAAAAACAATTATGCTTTCTGGATTTTAGCTTTTCGAACAATTAAGAGACATCAATACTCCACATAACATGCACTACTGTAGTGTCACTACATCTTTGCTACTTAATTATAGAATATACATATATTTATTATGTCTTTACCAATTAAAACTATATATTATTATGGGTATTTTATCTGTTTACTGAGATGAAATCCTTTGTTAACTGTGAAACTGTGACAACACGTTTTTGAGAAACGAGAAACAATACAGGATTGGGTGGCATTGGCCCACTTCATCAATAATCAGTTGTCTCATTTATTATTCTTAACTATAACGAGTTTGAAGTGTCAAGATTTGAATATTAAAATGGGTTTACCAGTTCCTTTAAAAGAGAAGACACGTGTCGACATAGAAAAGTGCGTATAATCCAAGACGAACGAGGAAGGCGTTGAAAGAGTTTCTTACCAGCATAGGACAAGAACCAAGAGGAAAAAAACAAAGGAGGAGACTAATATCAGAGTCTTTAACTCGTTTTTCATGACTCCTGTTTTTATCTCTCATTTCTCAGCACCTTCCCAGAAACCTTCGTAGCCTTTCATTTCATTTTCTCTGTAGTTAGTTTGAATCTTTCTTCTCTTTTCTGTTAACTATCTCCCTTTATCTGGTCATAATAACCNATATAATAATATACTAAAAGCAAAAATCCTTTTGCCATGCTTCTCCTTTTTGCCTATCACGTGTTTGCGGAAATTCTTCTGTGAATTTTTACCATACTTCTTATCTTTTACTTCTTCCTTTATTAATTCTTCAACTTCTTTCTTTTTCAAGACGATATAAATAGGAACGAATGCTGGCTTGTGAAGCTTTTCTTCGTTCACTGGCCAAGGATGCCAAGAAATATTCTTGCACTGTTACTCGCGCATATGATTTAATCCTCACTGGGTGTTATATTGCAAATGATCTAATCATGGATT